GTAGTTCACTGTCCTTTTGCCATACAATATAACAGCAGGGGTAATATAGTTGTTAGAGAAGAAAAGGCAATAGGAGGGTTGGTTTGAAAAAAAAGCTGACATAAGATCACCCTTCAAGAATGGACCTCATGACCATGGGAGCCATGATGAGGCCTTGAGGTGGAAGGCATTAGGAAAGAGTAGTGCATGACAGCAGAGAAACGTGAATGTGGCATTAAGGGGAAGGAGAGGCTTCCTCCTGGGAAGGAGGGATAGTTTGAGGGGTGGGGGTTGGGGAGAGTTAGTTGTCGGGAGAGGTGTCGGGGAGTGTTGGTTGTGGGGAGGGGCATTTGTATGGCCTTGTTTCTTCAGGCTATGGGAATCTGGAAGTTTAGAGGGATCAGTGTCTTAAAATGGCAGGCCCATATCCAACAGTGGTGATCCCCTAGAAGATGTATGGACAGCCTATTTGCTCTAGACAGTGGCCCATGGCTACCAAAATGGTTGAGCCACTACCAAAGCCAGGACTCTGCACAAAAATCAAGACAGTAAACTGTTGGACCTCAGTTTTGCCCATACTAGCTGAATAACTTCCAGAAAATCACCAAAGCCTTTCTGCTTTGCCTTTTGCCACTGTAGAATGGGGATCATAGAGTTTGTCTCAAAGGATCTGCAGAGAAGTGGAATTAATGAAAGCAGTTGAGGGGTGAAATTAGTTGGTGCAATCTATGAATGCTGGTTCCTACTGTGACTAGCCATCTGTAAATCTCTAAGCGTGAATGAATGGAGCTGGCTGATGATAATTCACATGCCAAGAGAAGGAATTTTGAAGGCAATGTCTCAGTCAGAACACAGAGTTCATCTTAGAGGTGGTATAGTGGGGACCATGACTTCAGAGTAAGCTTGGTCACAGGGTAGAAGGGGTGCTGTGTGTCTTTGAAGAGTCTCATGGGGCAATAGGGCCTCTGCGAAAAGGCTACAGCTTTACTGCTAGATTCAATCTAAGCAAGCCTGCTAGTCCTGTCTATCTCAGTCTTGAATTCCACTGGAAAGGTGTGGGTCTGGGTGCACCAGGTTCTTATTAGGGCATTCTGGAGAGAGGTTGCCTTCATCCAGTCAAGTCAAATGGCTCGCGAAGTGTTGAAATAAGGAGCGGCTGGGCTGCGTCCCCAACACCCCGGCCGCTTGGCTAGCTCATGCCCGAAATAACAACACACAAACTGTATTCATTTAAGAACTGCTTGGCCCATGAACTCTAGCCCTTACAGGCTAATTCTCGCACCTGGACTAGCCCATTTCTAATCATCTGTGTAAGCACCCCAAGGTGCGCTTACCGGGAAGATTCTAGCCTCCGTCCATCCTGGGAGAGAGGAGCATGGTGTCTCTGCTCCAGAGCGCAGAGCTGTCGAGCCTCTCCGGGAGCAGAGCAGAGTCTGACCTCACTTCCTCTTCCACCCAGAATTCTATTCTGTTTACTCCTCCCATCTATGTTCTAAGCTATGAGGCCAAGCAGTTGGTTTATTATAATTAACCAATGACCTTCCTCCATCAGCGAAGTTCAGGGGACTTCTGAGGCCATGGGAGGCAGGAGTCACGAGGTCTTGAGAGGAACACACACAGAGAAGAAGCCTAGCCTATCGGATTACGTGATGCCTGCTGGCGTGGTGGGAAACAGAGTGTGTGAGAAGTCACTTGTGGGTTAAGACTTCAGGGAGCAAGGGTTCGGCAGAGTAGGGGTTGTCTGTCTGTTTTGGTGGAGAAGCCCATGCAGCAGGCCTGCGCAGGCAAGCAGAGGTCAGCAGAAGAGAGTGAATGTTCTGAAGAGGCAAAGGGAAGAGGTTTCCAGTCTGGCCTTCCTCTAGGGGAAGCCTGTGAGGGGATCTTAGTGGTTTCTCCAGGTCTGATGTGAAGCTCTGTGCTTGAGCGTCTACTGACGCCATGTGGTTCATGGGATTGACACAGAAGCAGTAAGGCTGTGGACCTTGCTTCTACTATCTTGAGAGAGAATTGTGTACTGCCTGCCACATTTCCATTTATGTAAGAGGCTACAGGGGAGACGAGTTTAGCAATTTAAGCTCTAGAAACAATTGCTTGTTTGCTTGTTTTGTCTAGGGATTGAACTAACAGCCCCAAGAACACTAAGTAAACAGTTTACCATGGGGGCTATATTCCCATTCTCTTCTTAATATTTACTTTTTATGACACAAGCTCTTCCCAAGCTGCTTAGACTGGCCTTGACCGTGCCATCCTCCTGCCTCAGCCTTTGGACTGCCTGAGATTATGGGGGTGCACTGTCATGTCCCACACAATGTTAACACTTCTGAAACATCTTCAGTCAGGGAACAGAGGAAGCAAGTCAAGAAAGATGGAACAGAGAGGTGGTCATCCTCAGGCTTGAGCAGAAGGATGGTTCCAGAATACCAGCTCTCATCAACCTGGATGGGGGTGGACGGGAAGGCTTCAGAGCAGTTTTCAGTTAGCTGAGATGATTGTTGGCATGCTCGCCGACTCAGTCTCAACATGGGAAACTTTGGTTTTGGTATATGAGGAAACATCACTGTCTGACACAGACTCCACTAACGAATGGCGGCAGCTCTCATTTCCAGGAATCTCTTCATCTCAAGATGTTCTATGCAACTTCCTCCTTCTTGTCTTTGAAACCCCTTGTTCTTCTGTACCTCCCAGGGTCCACCAACAGTCCTTCATGGTGTGAAAGGCACCATCTACCGCAAGGTTTCACTGTCACTCTCTCCCAACTAAGCTCGCTATCACTGGAGAATGTCTGTAACTTTAGGTTGACTACACTGCACTAAGACCCTAATACTGACAGGAGAAGAAAACAAGTGACACAAAGTATGAGGCCCATTCGATAACAACACAGGAGTCAACCAAAATAGAAAACAAGAAATGCTAATTCCAGAAAAATAATATTTTTCACAATATATTATGACTGGGTATTTATAATGATCATATTGTAAACATATGAATATTAATCTATATGACGTTGCTCTTTACTTCTGGAAGGATTGGGGTGGGGAGGCTATATGTACGTGGTTAGGGTAGGATTGGTACCAGAAAACAGACCATACAAGAGGCAGTGGGATACATGTGCTACTAAGGGATGTAGAAGTACATTTCCAGTTTCTGCTAAAAAGCCATTACGTTATCTGAATGTGGGAGGGGAAGAAAATGTGGTCTATACTCAAAGGAATACACTCAGTCCTGGAAAAGAAGCCTTACTTTCAGCAGCCTAAGGAGAGTGGAGTATATTATGCAATAAACCAAACACATGAAGACAAAATACCACATGTCCTCACATGTGGAATATAAAAGAGTTCTATTCAGGAAAAGGGGAGGAGGACAGTTGATGGAAAAAGTCAGAGAGTCCAAGTCTCAGAAAGGGGGCTAAGTCTGAACTTTAAAGACAAATGCACAACATGTTGAATATACCTGTTTTAGATACTATAAATTTCAATGCCTAAAGACAATATTTTCATGTCCTCAATACAAAAAGTTAAAATACCTGAGATATCTGGGTCAAACAGCTTAATTTTATCACCCTGCTCTAATTTTATTGTAATTCAAAAATTACAATATGATCTTTAGTTCCATAAATGTATGTAACTTGTCCATACATGATGAAACGAGGAAGTGGATGCAGGAGTTAGAACGTGTTCGGCGCTAGTTTTTAAGTGAACGCAGGACAGGAGAATACGACTCAGGCCTGTAGAGCATTAGCAGCTGTTGAATCTAGGTCTTGAGCTGAGAGACCCAGGCGTTGACTAGAGAGCAGACATCGGACCAGACAGATTCCATCAGTCTCAGGAAGCTTGAGTCACACAGGGATCCTGCTGGGACTCACATGCCGACTGAGCAGGTCCAGGGTGGGGCCTGAGACTCTGAGGAGGACGGATGTGTGGGAAGTGAATCAACAGCACTTCAGAGGCCCTAAGTTCTCAGGCTTGCTGGCTGCTGCAGGAACTCCGAGGTAGGGGTGAGAAAGAGTGGGGGCGTAGGGGTCAGGGGTTGAGAGAAGATTTCCCTCGAGCATTTGCTCCCAGCTTGGCAGATCATCAAGGACTCCAGGGCTTCAAAACAGACTCGTGCCTCTATCCTGCCCTGAGAAAAAGCTCTGGGTGCAACCTGGCTATTGAGAAAAGTGTATATGTGACCCTGAAGTCAAGCAGTGCCCAAGACCGCCAACGCTGGGAGAATTCTTGTTCTTGGGCTGGCATGAGAACTAGGTACCAGAAACAGAGTAAGAGGTTCATCCCAAGCACTTGTCTTGGTCTTTAACGTTACAGGGAGTAACCTAAAAACTCTGTAAGAGTGATGCATCATATTTTAGATGAAAGTTAGCACAACACTCAACAATGAATAAAATAGAAAAATGTAAAGGGTGGAATCCATAGTAGTGCCATGTGGAGTCCTACTGGAGTGTTTGGATTAAGGGAAATCAATGACACCGATCTTCTAAGTTGTATATCAGCTTTCTGGTCTCCCAAGCCCTTGGCTAAACTAACCAGTTAAGGATGCTCAGAGGTGGGGCCATTTGCAGGGCTTTGTGAGGCTCCTCCCGCCCTGCACTGTCCCTGACACCGGTGATGTGCTGGTCTACCCTAGTCCTGACATTTCAGAGTTGGAACCCAGAAATCCCACAAATACCTCAGGTATTTATTGAGCTTCACGTGTCTACAAATACTAAGTCGCTCCTCAGCGTTGGCCTTGTGGAGTGTTACTTCCTAGTACAGGTGGGAAAACTCAGCACAATGACTTGCTCACAACTACACAGCAAGTAAGACATTGCGCAAAATCAAACCCAGTCTGTCGGCTGGCCAAGTCAATGAGCACAACTACTTAGACAAAAAAAAAAGTGCCCCTTATCACACGGAGCACAACAGAATCATTAAAAATACGAAGAACAATGCCAGCAACAGAACCAACACATCCGATTCACGGGACCCTCTGGATTTATTGAATTTGAGTAATAAGAGAGTAAGGCTATCAATTGAGATTCAGCATCACCGTATGGTGTACCTATCCCACTTTTTCTCGGGGTCGTAGGGCTCCCAGCGGCTGGCGGGGAAGATGTGTTTGTTCTTCTCGTACCAGCTGCGCAGCACCACCTTGCCCGCATGCGACTCATCTTTCTCCATTGTGGCATCGCTCAGCAGCCGCACATCGTCGTGCACGTCGAAGCTGAAGAGCGGCCCGCTCTTGCCCCGCGCCTTGGCCACAATGAAATCGTAGAAGGTGTGGTAGTGTGGCAGGATGAGGTCCTCCTTGACGTACATGAGCTGCTCCACACCCACTGCGCGCAGCTCCCGGAAGTCCCTGCGCAGCCCCTGCAGTGCCCGCTTCAGGAACTGCTGTACGGTGCTGCCCTTGCGCATGCCCACCGTGCGCCGGTGGCCCGAACCATCCCAGTAGCTGAAAGTGATCTCCACCTCCTCGCCTTTCACTTTCTCGCGCTTTGCCTCCCATTCCTGCCTCAGCTCCTCCCGCAGCCGGTTTTCCTCCTCCTCGCGTTGACGGTCGGGCAGGAAGCTGGTATCCACATCTGGGTTCTTGCCCAAGTTCTTCTTGGGCCCACCACTGTGGGCCTCAGTGCCCTCCGCCCAGCGGCCATCCTCTTGGTCATCTTCCTCATCTAGAGTGAAGGACAAGTTGGAGATCTTCCTCTTGCGCTCCTGCCGACGCTCTTTCTCGCGCAGCATCTCCAGCTGTAGCCGGCGCTGCTCCTGCTGCTCCCGCTTGGCCAGTTGCATCTCCCGCTCCCTCATCAGGGCCTCCTGTTTGGCCTTCATGTCATTCAGGGTCACCAGGCCCACTGTGCTGGACTTCAGCTCGGCCTCCACGGCATCGTAGTGTGCCGAGAACTTCTTGTCCACCTTGGATTTCATGATGGTCTCCTCTGCAATGCGCTGCTTCAGCACCTCCATCTGCTCCTTCTGCTTCTCCCGCTTCTTGATCAGGTGCATTGCCCTGCCGGCCTCCCGCATGGTGCCCTTGTACTGCGCCATGCCTGCAGCCCAGCCCAGCCCCTATGGCCAGCTCAGTCTCTGTCTCTAGTAGCCTTCCAGGTCTGACATCAGATTCTACACCTAGGAACAAACAAACAAAACAAACGGTTGAGGCCGGAAGGTCTACAAGAGCATGCCTTAATCCCAGGTAGAGGCAGGCGGATCTCTGTGAGTTCGAGGCCAGCTTGGTCTACAAGAGCTAGTTCCAGGATAGGCTCCAAAGCTCCAAAGAAACCTGTCTCGGAAAAAAAAAAATGGTTGAGAATCGGGCCAGCACAGCAACTTCATTAATGATCTACACCATCACCTTGTGATAGAACTTCCTCTCTGTTGGATGATTCTGTCTCCAAGATGTAGTGATATTTCATTTGTATTTTAATAAAGCAAGCTTACCCGAATATCAGAAAGTAAAATAGCCACATTGGTGAGCCATACAGACCAGGCAGTGGTAACACACACCTTTAATCCCAGTAGCCACACTAGTGCACCATAGAAACTCGGTGGTAGTGGTGCAGGCCTTTAATGCCAGCACTAGAGAAACAGAAGCTGGGATCAGATAGGAACTTGGTCTCTTTCAAAGTCAAAGGTGAAGGCGTAAGTCACAAACAAGGCCACACCAGTTTGGAGTTATGATTAATAGGGTGTTATTTATTTAAAGGGGAAAAAACTTACAGATCACTGACCCAGACAACAGCCATCTGCACAACCAGGAAGGGAGTCTAGTCTCCAGCGGAGCAGGAAGTGCAGAGAGCGAGCAGAGGAAATAGCCGCTTTTTTAAAGGGAGAGAGACCACGCCCCAATGGGCTGGTATCACAGCAGCTATTGGTTGGAGGGGCGGAAGGACCTCCCGCAACACAAAGGATTTCTTAGAGCCCCTTTAAGGGCTTTAGTGGCTTGGCTGTTCTCCTTTTCTGGTCTTCAGGTTGAACTTCAGTATCTGTTTCTACGTTTTTATTATTTGTGCTACATTGAGGTGACCCAGTGTGGTAACTACTGGCCATGTAAGGCCCTTGAGTCCATGAAATGCAACTGCTGTCACCAAGGAAGCAATTTTACTTCAAGTTGAGATAGCCTTGTGTGACTTCTGTGCAGGGTGGATTTGAGAAGCTGCATGTGGAGACTGACCTACTGCCCAGGTGTCTGCTCCAGCATAGCCATGTAAGAGCAGGGCACAAGAGAACCTGTGCCTGGGCTCATGAGAACTGGCCATAGAAACCATATCTTCTGATGAGGAAAGTTGACTCTGCAGGATGGCACCTGTCTTTGTTGGAAAGCAAGGAAAAGAGAAGAGGGGCTTTTCTACATTCACCTCCTTGGGAAACTGTGCTGCTAGATTAATTTTCCATTAATGTTCTCATCATGGCAGGTCCTGATGAGCTTCCATCACTACCACAGTCCTGGGAGTGGTTTCTGCATGGAGTGCTAGTTGCACTCACTTGGTGTCAGTGCTAAAGCACACCGAAGCAAATCAACACTGAAGTCTCCCTCCCTTGATGTGAGAATGAAGACTTCAGAGAAACTGCATGCAACAGAAGCAGGCTAACCACAAAATACCTTCACCTCGCTTCAGCCAAAGCAGAAGAGAGACCTCCTAACTTAATGGACTCAACTTGAATTGACCACTTTCTACTAGTACCACTTGTACCTTCCTTACCCTTCTGGAGCTCCGTCATTACTCCATGGACTCTGACACCCACACACCCCATGACAATTGACATCCTCTTATCCAGCTGTTCCCATACCCCAGACTGGTCCCCCATGCCCTCTGGAACACAATGTGTCAGCAAAGTCATAGGACATCCCCTTTAACCTTCTGGGAGTAGACTGAAGCCCAGGTCTCTGTTGAGGACACCATTTCTCCACATAGCTTCATGATAATGTCTTGCTCTGACATTCTCCACCATACTGAAAATCTAAATGAGAGGCCCGTTTCCTCACCATCTCAATAGCATCTTTGTTCTCTTTGCTGTTGCAAGCCACTCTGGAGCTCGTGCTGCTCCCTCGCCTGCCGATGTCCCTACTGCTCGAATTCCCTGTCTTGCTAAGTCCTTGGAGATGATTAGTACATGGCTCACTTGCTGCCTTCTCCCGTCCTAGCCCATTGCTATCCTGGATGTCATCAGCAGGGGCCACCCGGTACCTTCACCTCACTTCTAACAACCTCTTCCCTTGTCCACTCATTCTCCTGTCCACATGGTGATACTTTAGCTCTTATCACAACCAACAGATTCGTCTTCAATTCCCTACATCATTCCTTTGCATTCATGTTCTCTGGTTGTCTGGATTCCAACTGTCCTCCGTTAGCCCAGAGCTCCATGTCCAAAGGCTCTCTACACCGGCCCATTATTGTCACACCCTCCTATACTTCTGCCTTTCCTACCCATCAAGGACCAAACGACTTCCTAACCCTTCACACCTCTTGCCTGATGAAATTTTCATCTAAGAAATCCTAATCCTTGCTGGGCGGTGGTGGTGCACACCTTTAATCCCAGCACTTGGGAGGCAGAGACAGGTAGATTTCAGTGAGTTCAAGGCAGCCTGGTCTACAGAGGAAGTTCTAAGACAGTCAGGGTTACACAGAAAAACCCTGTTTTGAAAAACCCAAACCAAAAAAAAAAGAGAGAAAGAAATAAAAAAGAAACTCTAATCATAATTAAACCTGGAGTTATCTATCAGCCCTTACATCCAAGTAGTTGATGACCAAGAAAATAAACAAACTGCCAGCCAACATCACTTTAAATTCATGACTATAGGCTCCACTGTCTGTGATAGCAAACTAAAAACGATTAAAAAAAAAGGCAAAACAAAACAAAACTCAAACAAACCAAAAACAGCCAACCAAACAATGGCAACAAAAACAGAACAACAACTTGCTGGCCTTCGTTCTTGCCACTCAGCACTTTGTTTTGGAACTGTAGAAGCAAAAATACATGACTAGCTGCTTACAGTTTATTTTTGGTTATAATTAGACATGTGGCTTTATCGAAGGCTTTTTATCCCCCCATTAATTTTTATCCGTGCATACAACACAGGCCATTCTTTTTGGTGTTCAGCCATGGAAGTTTCCACAAATGCCCAGGTGCCTGGACGTCTTGGTAAACTGTAGTCCTCATTTCGGGAACACCTTTGGCTCCAACAGGCCCTGGGGCTGCTTTCCTGATCACCCTGAGCAGAGTGCTGCCTGAGGGCACAGGGCCTGGTCCAGTCTTAGGGTGGCGCTCCAGCTCCGTGCTGGGGTCCAGGCAGGCACAAACAGCTGGAGCTGATAAAATCCTGAACTCTGCCATTATGCACCTCCCTGACCTCCACCCCCGGCTGCAGTGCCACACACTGCTGTGTTATCAGTTAGTCAAACGAAACTCTTAGCCCAGGACTTCCTGTCTCAGTGTTGTGGTTGAAAGTTCAGTCTTCAAGACCAAATGAAGGAAGGAGAAAGGACTGATTGACTTTTGATCAGGGTGAGATCTTCCTGAAGCTCCGTTGTAAGAGACTCTTGGCCACATCTTTAAGAAAAAGTTAAAGTGAAAGCAGTGGAGCTGTTCCAGCAGGTGGAACGCTGACAGCCCAGGTTTGTAGTCTCATGTAAAAAGGAGCTAGAGGGAATGGCCCAGGTCTGCAGCCCAGCAGTCCAGCAGTGAAAAGGGAAGCAGACAGCCATATCACCACCGGTGACACTTAGAGGCCAGCTCACTAGAAATTTGCTGCCAGCTCAGCAGCTGAAACAAGCCCCTCCTCCAACACACACACACATACATGCACGAACAATTTTTAATATTTTACTTACAGTGAGACTGCCATCTTTCTGGTGCCCAGCGCTATGGATTTTAGCTTGTGCACAATCATGCACAGCAGTTTTCTCTATCCTTGGTTCTGCTTTTCAGTTTCAGTTACCTGCACCCAGGGGCTGGACAGACAGTTCAGTGGTTAGGACCACTTAATGCTTTTGCAGAGGACCTGGGTTCCATTTCCAGCACCCACAAAGCAACTCACAACCGTCTGTCCCACCAGTTCCAGGTGATCCAGTGCCCTCTTCTGGCCTCTCCAGGCATTTGCGTGTATGTGGTACACAGACATGCATGTAGGCAGATCATTCATCTACATAAATTTTTTAATAAAAATTAATTATACAACTCAACAACAACCCAGAAAACTTGAAATGAAAATTTCTAGAAATTAACAATTCATAATTTTTAACGGCACAGTGTTTTGCATTCTATTTGATAGTTTTGAGAGTTCCTGTTGTCTGTATATAATTCCTTCATGTGACATGTGACCTGCAAGGATTTCTAGCTTTTCTTTTAGACTTGTAGATGTCCTTTGTTGTTGAAATATGAGCGGCGGGGCTGTGTCCCCAACACCCTGGCTGCTTGGCTAGCTCATGCCCTAAATAACAACACACAAACTGTATTCATTTAACTGCTTGACCCATTTCTATCTAGCCTCTTCTAGGCTAATTCTCACATATTAATTTAGCCCATTTCTAATCATCTGTGTAAGCACCCCAAGGTGCGCTTACCGGGAAGATTCTAGCCTAAGTCCATCCTGGGTCTGAGGAGCTTCATTGCGTGCATCTGCCAGGGAGAGCAGAGCATGGCGTCTCTCTAGGAGCAGAGCAGAGTCTGACCTCACTTCCTCTTCTGCCCAGAATTCTATTCTGTTTACTCCTCCCACCAATGCTTTAACCTATGAGGCCAAGCAGTGTGTTTATTACTTAACCAATGAAATCAACAGATTGATATATGACACTCCCACATCACTTTGTAGAAAAAAGAAAAACAGTTTTAATTTTGACGAAGTCCAATTTATCAGCTGTCTATTTATGGATCATGTTTTTGGTATTTAGACCAAGGTCATAAAATCGGTTTCTTATGAGCTCTTCTAAAAGTTTTGTAGTTTCCCATTTAGTTTTATTGCCCACTTTGAGTTATTTTAGAATTGTTTTGAAATCCCCATCTAAATAAATGCTGAACTTCCCTCAGCATTGGCAATTTTAAGTACCAGTCTGCCACCACAATCATTCCTTCCTTCCCTATCTTTCTTTCTCCCTCCTTCTCTCCCCCCCCCCCCGGCTGACACTTCTGGGTTCCAGGGCCACGCATGCGTGGACAAGCCCTCAGGCAGAAGTTTCTAATGACCCCAGGAATCTTAAAGGACCCCATATGACCCACACGCAGAATGGTTGCATCATCTATGTATGATGCAGCTGCATGAGCCCTTGCATGCATGCATGAGATCCATCATCTGCATATGATGCAGCCACGTTATCTCCCTGTGCACATGTTCTAGGAGGCCTTTAAAAGCTGGATGCTCCATCTTCAAGCTCTCTCTCTTCTCTGCACACCGACCTCACCAGGCTTGTGCATGCCCTCCCTCCCCCCAATAAACTCCTAAGCGGGTTTGTTGTGTGTTCTGTGTTTTCTTCTCGCTCGCACCAGGTAATTTCGCTAGGGATCGAACCCAGGTCATCACCCAAGACAGGCAATCTCTGTGCCACTGATCTACCACTCCAACCGCATTGCTTTAATTTCTAAAAACAGACAGTACCTTCTCTGTGTGTTGTGAATTCATAGTGTCAACAGAAGAAATTTTACCCAGTAGAATATTGACAGGGATCTCAGAGACTACAGAAGACAAGTGGACAACATCAGAGTGGTGGTTTGAATAAGTTATGGTCCTGTAGACTCATGTGTTTGAATGGTTGGTCCAGAGGGAGTGGCTCTATTAGGAGGTGTGGCCTTGTTGAAGGAAGTGTGTTACTGTGGGGGTGGGCTTTGAGGTTCGGAAGCTCCAGTCAATTCATTCCCTTCTGCCAGCAGATCAAGACCTAGAACTCTCAATCCTTTCTCCAGCACCATGCCTACCTGCATGCCACCATGTTTCTCTCCAAGACAATAATGGACTTAACCTCTGAACTGTAATCCAGTGCCAATTAAATGTTTTCCTTTATAAGAGTTGTCATGGTAATGGTGTCTCTTTACAGCAATAGAAACCCTAATTAAGACAATCAGTTAGGATGTTTGGCCCTGTCCACAGCTCATGCTGAGACATGCTTATAACATTGATGCTAATGGTGATGACCCCCGTTTCCCCAAATACTTCCCTAAGACAAGTAAGATGCCCATTCTGATACAGGAAGTCCACTCTCCAACACACTACTCGTAAGATGTAGGAGGTTCAGAGTTTACTGAAAAAGAGCTGTGCTTTATTTGTAACAAGAATTAACTGCCTGAATTTCTGTCACCTCAAGGGATTATCTGTATCACCCATGGGTTAGGATTGGGTCATTTTGCTTTAAGTGATCATGCCCCTTGTCCTCCCTGGCAGAACTGTGACGCAAAGGATCCTGAAATTCTGAGCAGTGACAGGTGGAGGTGCTATGGGTTAATATAAAATGCTCTCACAGATGTGTGTTTTGAAGGTTTGTTTCCCACTTGTGAGAAACATCAGGAGCTCAGGCCTACCTGAAGGGAGTGGGGTCACTGAGGTTGGGTCCTTGTGGGTAAGAGGTGTATTTGTCCCCTTCCTGTCGTGCTTTCTTTCCTGGCCTTCCATAAAGTGAAGAGCTTTCTTATGCCGCATGCTCCCATAGCCATGATGTCTTTTTCAAGCAAGTGGGACCAAATGACCACAGACTGAATCTTTTGAAACTGTGAACCAAAAGAAATTCTTTCTTCATTAAGTTGCTTCTGTTGGGCCACAGTGGTGAGAAGCTCACAACCAGAGGGTGTTTCTTACATTTTATAATCCTGAGATTATCAGTGTGACCACCAACCACAGCCACCGAGTCCCCAGGGCTCGCACCTAAGAAGTGACTGCATTTTATATGTTGCTAGAGGGCTTTGGTAGAGTGCATGTTTGCCAGGATTCAGTAATTTCTCTAAACAATGGTTTCCAAGACTGAACCAAGGATCTGTTTGGCAGGACTGCAGATGATTAGATAAAACAGTGAGGTCATTTCTTATCATTGTGGCAGAATGACTGATGTAGATGATTTCAAAGGAGAAAAGATTTATCGAGCCCACAGGTTCAGAGGACTGTCCACTATGGCAGGGAGGAAAAGGTGAGACAGAGCAGTTTCTGTCAGGGTGGTGAAGAAGCAGAAGAGGGGACACCTAGACTGTGACCAGTGTCCCGCCCCACTCCCTTTCATTCCCTCTAGGTTCTCCAGCTTATGGGTCAGGCCAGGTCCCCTCTGACATTAATTTATTCTCTCTGGAAATGTCCTCACAGACGCACACAGGCACAGTGAGCATTATAATCTCCCAGGTGTTTCTCAATTTGTTCGTCAAGTTGACAACTGAGATGGTTCCTCACAGACAGACGGGTTTTGGCTAGGTCACCCACCCCTTGCTCCTGCAATACTTCTATTTTCCTGCTTTAGGACTCGGATGGTTAACAGCTTCAATGGTATTTGGTGACTGAATAAAGAAATGTTACACCGTTTGAGTGGGTGATTCTGAGATGCTGTTGATATCAGCAACTCCAGGTGTCACGGTAAAGATATCCCCTGCCACGTCTTCCTTCTCTGTTTAGAATCAAAAGTGCCAAAGTTCACTCTTTCCAAATCCACGAGGCTCTGATCTTCTGCTCTGGCAACCAGAGATGAAGCCTGGCAGAATGGAAGTCATGTTGCCTGAGGCCCCTGCTCTCCATACCAGGTTCTCATACTGACAATAAAGCAAATTTGCTGTTTAGAGAGGTCACATGACTATTTTAAGCTTCAGGTTGGTTGGTTGGTTTTCCATCTGAACTCTTGCAAGCTGAGACTTTCTGGCCCCTTTGACTGGGATAGGATTAGGATTCAGCCAAGAATATAGCTTCGCAACTTAAATTTTAAGTTCACCACAAGACATGGATAAAAAGAACCCACAGTCTGTTAGCATCACACACCACCTTCCGGAAGAAGGGTTTATTAACCAGAGACTCCAAACTCCAGTTCCAGGAGCGGGAGATGCAAGCTTACAGGGTCAATCTAATTAGACTTTGTCCATTCACAACAGTGCTGGCGTGTTATCAACTCAGTCCAAAGGCGAATCCAACAGGGTCGAGGGTACAAGAACCCTGGGGTGGCAATCGAGGAGGAGGGAGTCACTGACCCTCACAGATAGAGCCTGACAAAGCCCTGGGAACCATGGCTCATACTTTCAAAGAAGCCAGTTCTGAACCACTTTGGCAGGCACTAGAGCTGGGAGTCAGTCAGGAAAAAAAGAAAAGAAAAAAAAACTCCATTCATCAGGATGTTCCTTCGAAGCCACTCCATGCCTGGTTTCTTGGTTGAGGAGGATTCTTTTCTCCAACTTTCCAGGAAAGGGAGACTTTTTTCCTTCCTTCTCTTCACAGCTCCTTGTCTTCCTCTCCCCAAAACAACTGCTCCCAGTACAGATGTCCTAGCCTGGATTTCTGCCTGACTTGTTCTTTCTTTCTTTCTTTCTTTCTTTCTTTCTTTCTTTCTTTCTTTCTTTCTTTCTTTCTTTCTTTCTTTCTTTCTTCCTTTTGGTTTTTCGAGACAGGGTTTCTCTGTGGTTTTGGAGCCTGTCCTGGAACTAGCTCTTGTAGACCAAGCTGCTCTTGAACAGAGATCCGCCTGCCTCTGCCTCCCGAGTGCTGGGATTAAAGGTGTGCACCACCACTGCCCTGCTCCAGCCTTCTTGATATAAAGGTTGCCAGGGGTTAAGACACTTAGCTTTGCTAGAGGCTGAAGTGTAGGAAAACTTATAACAGTGTGTCAAACACAGGACCAGTCCAAGGGCCTCTAAGCATTGTCCCTGGGAGAGGCAGTTTCTGAACTTTTAACAAAAGAGATTTTAGTTTTGTTTATATGTATATGTGTGTGTGAGCGTGCATTTGTGGATTCTAGTGCAGTTCCCGCAGATGGCAGAAGAGGGTGTCAGATACCCTGGAGCTGGAGTTAGGAGCCATGTGCCTGACTTCTGAAACAGCAGCATATGCTTTTAGCCATTGCGCCATCTCTCCAGACCCATGTTTTAAAAATTTGATCACCCTTTAAATGCAAGATATTGGCAAGCTCTCTTTTTTATAAGACTTAATAACATGTTCCTTTTTCTAGAACATACAGGATAAGTTCACCTAGATCATGAATATGATTGTTTGTACAGAACACATCTCCTATAATTCTCAATATGAAAAGAAAATTTAGTATAGACATATTTGACAAAAATATTTATCATTTTATATGTACTATAGCCTTAATTTTAGAATTTCATGATTATCAATAATATTTATTGATCTATTATTCCCAGAGAGTATTCTCAGAAAACAAACACATAGGAATAATCTAATAAAAGTACGTTTAATGTACATTAGGAGCATTTTGGTCAATATAGATGTTATATTCTCTCATTTTCTTTTATATTTGACTACTTAAAAATAAAAATTAATCTCTTTCTAGAATTTGTTTTTCAAGAAAATTCTAATCAAAATCTATGTAGTCAACACAGAATTTGTAACTAATAGGCTGTATGCAATGGTTCATGCTGTAATTCCACTTGGGAGGTAGAATTTAAGTCTATCCTCAGATACAAAGAGAATAAAAGGGTAGCTTAGACCACAAAAGACTCTGTCTCATTAA